TAACACTCTCAAAGTATACCTAACTTAAAAACTTAATAGTAAAACCAAACTTGAGATCAAATTTGAATCTTTAATTAGTTGGCAAGAGATTTGAAAAAAACCAAAAAAAAGACCTATAACCTATCATTTGATGAGAAAAAAAAGTAGAGAAAAATGCAATCTAGGAAGAAGGGAAACTCTTACATACCTAGTTGAGATATACAGGTTCTTCAATGTTAGATAGCAAATTCCACTTATTGCTTGGGAATAATTTATGTAAATCTATACTCCTTTGGAGCAGAGTATGGATTTCACCAAGATGATGCAATATCTGGAGAAGGCTGCAGGCACAGATCACAAGTTTTACACTTGTACTATAACCAATACTACAAAATCATCCCAAAAAAAAAAAAAAAGGAAGACAGGGAGATGGAAGTAAATACTTACAGAGTTTGTAGCTAAGCATGTGTTGTTGATTGCTTTCTCAAACTGGCTCTTTGATTATCTAAATATCCAGTAGATCATGTAAATCTGCTTCAGAATGATTTTATATATCAAAACCTAAAAGAAAATGCCTTTGATACTAAGTGGCCTAATAGCCACTTTTCTTTGACTAGGTGTTATAATAGTAATATCTTAAATTTTACGCCTAAGTCTTCTCTTATCTCCAAAATTCTCCTAGTTAAAAAATAATAGGAAAATGAGAATTAACTAGTGAAAGGCACAGTACAAGAAAACACAATGATGGCGTAGACGTGGAGTCAGCCCTCCACCTATAAGTTTTTAGATAAAATATCAGTTTGAGCCCTTAACTTTCAAATTTATATTAATATTATCTTTCAACTTCAAAAAATATGAAAATTGCCCTTAAATTTTAATTTTTTGTACCAAAATAATCAACTTCGAAGATGAATACTAACTTAGTCTTTGAACTTAAAGACAAGTATCAACTTAATTTTTGAACTTTGATTACAAATACTAATTTAATTTTTCAACTTTGATTATATATCAATTTAATGTGTTAATGAAAATATACTATGATAGTAAAATATAACTATTTGATTTTACACATCATTAGTATAAAA